TATGGAATGGTCCACAGAATTTTTGGCAAAATTCTTAACATGAGGAATTTAATTTTAAAAATCAGGAAATCACTCAGTTAAATCCTGAATGTGTAAAACACAGTAAAATAATTTGCCTGAGTTGTTAAAGAAAAAAAAAAAGTGTCATGAAAAACAGAAAGATGGAAGATAAGTACAGATTTAAAAAAAAAAAAAACCAACACATTATGTAACCGAATGTAATGTTTGACATTTAACTGGATCTCAAATTGGGAAAGCAAAACAAAGAAACAACTACAAACAACATTTTGAAACACCTGTGGAATCAGAATGTGGATTGTATATTAAATGATGTTGTATACTAAATTTATGTTAATCCTGTGTGATAACAGTGCTGTATCATGTAACAGTCCATTCTTAATCTGAGGACAGGAATATTAAAAGGTTCACCTGGCTATTCTGAAATGATTCAACAAGAAAATATGGAATGCCTATGAGAGAAGGAGTGGGAGAGGGACAGATCTTGGTGAAGGGTATAAACATATTAAATTTACTGCCTTTCGAATTTTCTAAAGTTTTAATGTTTCCAAAATAAAAAGCTGAAGAGAACCAGAGAGCACTGAAAATACTAGATGTTTTGTTCACAGTGGTACACCCAAGCAAGAAGCCTTAACAGTTATCTTAGTTATAGTAAGGTTTCTTAACACAAACTCCAAATCTTCCAGAAGAGGCAGAAAACAAAGGTCAAAAATGGGGGAGTCTGCAAACATCTGTGCAAATTTAAAGAAATTTTCTAAGCTGTTAAATAAAAGAATCCTAATCCTCTGAACTTGTTTTATTTAGTTCTTATAAATGTGTTAAACAGTAGTGTTGTTTGAGATTCTATTTCTAAAGAGAATTTTATTTTATGGTATTGGAATATTCTCCCTCTTGGGAAAAAAATAGGAAGGTTAGCTGCTTTGTTTTGTTTTTGGTTTTTTTTTTTTTTAAGATTTATTTATGTCTGCCCATAAGAACTGGAGTATAGGCCAGAGGTACAGGGAGTGAGAGGATTCACCAGGGACAGAGTGGGGAACAGAACAGGCAGATCGACTGAAATACACTGCTGAGGGGAGCAGCAGGGGAGCCAAGAGAGGTCTGCTGCACCACATGGGTTGCTCCCTGGCCACCGGGGATCGAACTCGTGCTGCAGTGGCTTCAGACAGCTTCATAGGTTGCGTCTTAACCCCTTGCGCCACCAGGGAGGCTCTAGCTGCTTTCTTAGAAGCAAAAGTAGTGGAGAAGAGAGTAGGCTATGCATTGTACAGTGACAATATGATTTGGAACATTGTAGGAATGTCCTAGGTTAAGAATTTTAATTATTTTTAAATTGGCTAGTACTTTAAATCATTAACATTGTCTTTTATATTTTATAATATTTTAATAATCAAATATACATGTATATTACAAATAAAAGAACTGGTTTAAGGATTAAACAGTAAATTACATTCCATGTTTAAAGAATATCTGACAGAATATTATTTTTAAAAGTTCATTTTTTTATTATTTCTACATTTATTTACACTTTCTTTTTCATTAACCATAACTTTTAATAGTCATGTGACAGTGATCACATTTCTAGCAAAAAAAAAATGAAATTTATAATACTTATCTAAGTTGCATTATAGTAATGTTCCATTAATACTTATGTTCATTAGGAATACTACTATCTTTTCAAAACAATCACTTATAATTTAGCTTGCTTTATTTTAAGAAGATTTACAAAATATACCTTAAAAATAATATTGTTATTCAGGCTCAAGTTCAAGTAGGAAAGAAAAAAAAAAGGAAAGCCAAATGCTATTTTTTGATCAACTGTTTGCCAGTAAACTGTTACTACAAAAGAGCAAAAGTGATAATGATAACCAAGAGCATCAGGTTAATTCTTCTGTTTTCATCAGATACACAATAAATCCAAATTGGGAATGACAGTCTGATTAGGGTCAAATTTCAATGCTATGTGCCTGTACAGGAACCATGTGCCTGTAATAATTTAAGAGTTATTCATCAGACTTATATTACACATTTCTCTTTTAGAATGGATGTATCTCATATATTTTACTTAAGAGATATTTATTTCATCCATAAAGGAAAGTGAAGTATTTTTTTCCCACAATATTCTCCCACACTTGAGTTCTCCCCACTTATTTTCTATGCTGTTGACTGTACACAGCCATCATTTTCTAAAACAGATGAAAGGCTGCTGACAGTGAAAGAAGTCTCACTGACAAAGGTCATATCTCCTCAGGAGTCTCAACTCAAAAGATCACCTATAACAGGAAGCAAGTTAAGCATCTCCTTCTGGCTGAAAAAGATCCATGAAGAAGGGGAAAAAAAATTAAGTATAATCTGATGCATCTATTTCAGAGAGCTCTTTATAACAATTAACAGAAATGGTTACAGTCAAAAAGGACATTTTCAGAGATCATATTAGGCACGGCACATTCACCAATTTAAAAGCAGCCTTAAAAAAAAAAAAAAAACCCTACAGTTTTCATATAAGGGTCATCTATAAAAAGGCAAGAGGAGAAATGGAAATGCAAAATATCTGTAGGTAAAAATATCTGCTGTGCACAGAACAGAGGATTTTGTACCACAAAATTTTCAGAAGGTGCTCCTTTTGATAATATATCAAAATCTGAAAGTGATCTTCTATGTTAATAAAAGAACTTAGGTTTTATTTAGGGTACTCTAGTAACTATAATATTCATGTAAAAGAGAACCCGAAAATCTGCATATCTTTTTACCTAAATGTGACTATGTGACTTCAAACAGAATTAGATTCCTTTTCAATAAAAAATACAGTGCTACATAACTATAGATGATATGAGTTATGAAGTTGAAAAGTTCATTATATTAAAGGAGCAATTTAGGACTCACTTAGGCATGAAAGACAGAAAACCGTCCTTTACGAACGGATGAGAAAAATGTTAAAGCATTCTGAATTTTATGATATAAAATTACTTAATAAAATTAGAAAAGTTGTATTAATGAGAATACATAGCCCAATTTTAATCAAATTTACAAAAAAGTAGGTTCTAATTAATAATCCACTATTGAGGAGGACCCTAAAGAACTCAAATATGCTGGGAAGAACATGCTAGTTTCTAGATTTCATATGGTATGGCCAGTTCAGGAGAGAAGACTAAAGGAGCAAACATTCCCACCCTCATTTCTGTGGTGTAATCAATTAATCTTTTTTCATCTAATCAAACCAAACAATACTCTCATACAAGTGTTCTAACTTCTGGTGGTTTTAATAGAAAACATTTCATATCCAAGACATGGTAAACATCCTAATTACCAAGCTCATCTTCCTCCTACACCCAATCTCTGCCACCTACTTAATTCCCTGTCCAAAAAAAATTACTTAAACATTAAAAAAAAAAAAAGCATATTAGTTTCTCAGGGCTGTTGTAACAAATTACCACAAAGTTGGTGGCTTGAATCAACCAAAATTCATTCTCTCATAGTTCTGGAAGCCAGAAGTCCAAACTCAAGTTATTGGCAGGATTGGTGCCTTCTGGAAACTCTGAGGAAGAATCTGTCCCTGACCTCTCTCCTAGCTTTGGCTGTCAGTAATACTTGGCCTTCCTTGACATGTAAATACATCTCTCCAATCTTGATTTCTGCCTTCACAGGGGCTTCTCTTCTGTCTGAGTCTTCTTTTATTAAAACACTTGTCATTTGATTTAATGTTCATTCAGATAACCTAAGACGATATCATTTCAAGATTCTTAAGCAAAGACCTTTTTTATAAAGTCACATTCTCAGGTTCCAGAATGGCATATGTTTTGGAGGGGTTATCATTCAACTACAGTTACTCCCTTTCTACAGTTAAATCCTAATTACCAATAAATGCTTATTTCTTAAAAGAACTTCAGAAACATGTCACATCATCCTTTTTTAGTTACCTGATTATTCTTGCCAATTAGATAAATTTTGAGGTAAATCTTCCTTTTATAGTATTTTTATTAGTAGTGTAGGCATGGCAAAACAAGTTTAAATGTGTTTACCTCAAAAGAATGTCACTTTCATGAATTACCAAATTAGAAAACTTAATGAGTCTTACACATAAATCTGGGTGAAAAGCATCAGTTTTAGTAATTAGTTTTAATTTCTACCTATATACCCTAATCAGGATAAATACTCTTATACATAAATACACAACTTTTAACTTATTCACATACAAACATGCCCAATGTGTTCAACACTGCCTTTTAATTTTTCATTGTTACTGGTATTCACTCATACACTAAGTTATCAATGTGCACATCTCAAGATGAAGTCTACTTTTTAAAAGAACAACTTCACAACATGAAAATATCTCCAAATTCTCTGCATCAGATGAAAGCACAAAAATTTCAGATTTACTGGGTGTGTAAGATTTCATTATCAGTATTGAAAAAAGTGCTTTCTTTCTTAAATGCATCTTCCCAAAGAAGCAACCTTTTTTGGCAATGACACAAAAAGCAATCCTTCCTCAGCTCTACATTAAGGCTATCACTTACTCACCCCACCTTTGTGCTGTTGCAGAGAAACACAAGAAAGGTGGCATGAAATTTGCAGACCTCCATCACCACCTCTATATACATACATAAACACACACACACTGACTGTGTGCATGACCATCTGTGAGGGTGCACAAGTGTATATACTCACATAAAAATTTTGAAATAGCAGTATAATCCTTCAAGAATAATGTGACTAGTACAATAATTCCCAAATTAAGAAATGATATGGAAAAGGAGACAAGAAATACAGAGAGAGCTGAGGAGAAACAGAGCAACAGCCAGCATAGCTACCATCTTCACACCTATCTACAGAAGGCAAAAGACCAAGTTTGAATAAGGACATTGCTACAGGTGCCTTAGCCTCTTTAGCCAGTATTGCCCTTCCAATTTATACCTTTTCACCGTATGCCCTATTACAGGGAACAAATCAAGGGTAGAAACTGAGAGATGAGCATGAACAATTCATACCTCCACCAGGAATAATGGCCAACTTTGTTTCGACAAGGCCCATTTTTGCAGAGGAAGCTAAAAAGAAAATTAAGTAACATCTATATCAACAAATTCAAATAAAATGACTTGAAAAGTTAATAAACAAAAAAATTCTGTTGGCTAATAAATTTCATCAAAAATCTTTAAAAATATCACTTCAAAATCATGCATTTTATAGAAGTAAACATTCTAAATGTTATATATTAAGAGAGTCATACATTTCCTGTTACAAGTTGTTTGAAGCAAAAAGACCAGGGTTATTTTATTACTACATTATTTGACCTGATGTTGCCAAGTCACGTTGGAAGACTTAGATCCCATTAAGTATTCAGGATCAGAAAAGGCTGTGTCTGACAAGTATGAATTTCTTAGCTACCTGAATAGTGCTCCAGATCAAGCAGTTTAATATATCACATCAGATATGGCAACTTTTCAAGACCAAATCTCTAGTTACTTTTGACAAATGGTTTTACGTTCTGACAGGTGGTCAGGGTTCCTCTTTCCATGTTTATTTTCACAGCTACTTTAAACATTTTAATTATTTCTTTATTTCCATACCCAAATGTACCTGAACTATTTCCCATATCTTAATCCCCACAAAACGCATTCTTTCAGAAATTGATTACATATACCTCAGCTTTTCAATTTAAAACCCAATGTTTTCATACAAGATAACAGAGATCTAAACTAAAGTAGAAAGGAAGGAAGTACACACTGACTAGCAACAACGGATTCCAAGAACAGGTAACCAGAAAATTACTGAAAACATGATTACACTGATACTACTCTGAACAAGTGGTTCCATCAGAAGTGATATGGGGAACAAGAACACTGACAAGTATTTGGTCCCAGTCCTTTGCCCAGTCCTTGGTCCCAGAGCCCCCTGACATCATGCAGGTAAGGGAAAGACGACAGAGTACTGTGACCACACAGAAGACCACATGAAGTGTTGGTGTTCTCGGAGGTCACAGCAGTGGGGTTGTGACACCAGACTATCTGGTTCAAAATCCAGCTCAGTCACTAATGAGGGGCTTGGTAATTCCTCTCTCTGCCAGAGTTTTCTCCTGTATTACAAAGTATCTACCTCCTAGGGATATTTGGCAGATTATGCATTAATAAAATGTCAAGTGTTTTGCTGGTAGACACACACCACGTGGTTAGCATTAATTATTTTCATTATTATTTTCATAATCACATCATCCAATCCTAAGGAAAATAAGTCAGTAAAAAACTGAATCTCAGAGATATTAAGTTATAACTACCAGTAATTAAGAGCTTGGAAGAGAAACATTACAGATTCATTGATGTAATCTTTACAATGGCAACTGTCATTTTATATCTCCCATTTTAGAGGAGGAAACTGATCTAAAAAGGGCAAGACCTAAGATACAACTTCAGTTCTGTCTGACCCAAGTCCTGGTCCTTGCTCCTACTGCAGAGACTATTAAAAGACTTTTCTTGACTGGGAATTTCAAGTGCATCATCAGGTTTAACTGTTGATTTTTTCTAAAAAGACTACTCAACAACAGGAAAAGAATAAATATTTGAAATTATCTGAAGAGTGAACACAAAGTTCATTTTTAAAAGTTATGTTTCAATTCTCACCTGCTACTCTTATATCACATGCTAAGGCCAGTTCAAGACCACCACCTAAAGCCAGTCCATCTATTGCTGCAATCGTTGGCACTGGAAGATTAGCTGAAATAGAAAAAAGATTTTATTCTTCCTCAGTAAGACTGTTACCTTATACTATATGATAAGATTTTTCTAAATTACAACATACAAATTTCATTTTCATAACTGGTTCAAAAACTGGTTAACTAATTTTTTTTAATTTTTTATTGTAAGTGTATTTTTTTATTTTTTTAATTTAAATTTTATTTTTATATTCCCCATACAATTACAACCCCCTTATTTTGACCCCATCCCTTTCCCGCCCCCCACCTCCCCATAGAGTGTCTCTGGTTCATAGTTGTTTGTTGATTTTGATATTTTTCTTTCTTATAGTTATTCTTTTTCCTGGTCCCTTATTTAAGTTTTCTAGATTCCTGCTAGGAGTGAGACCATTCAGTATTTTTTTTTTTCTTTCTGGCTTATTTCACTGAGCATGATCCCTTCCAGCTCCATCCATGTTGCTGCAAATTGCATGTGTTTATCTTTTTTGAATGCTGAGTAATATTCCATGGTGTATATGTACCACATCTTCTTGATCCAGTCATCTATTTTTGGGCATTTGGGCTGTTTCCAAAGCTTAGCTATTGTAAATAGTGCTGCTATAAACATAGGGGTGCAGGTGCTCTTTGGAATTGATGTTTCTGTGTCCTTTAGGTAAATACCTAGGAGTGGAATTGCTGGATCATATGGAAGCTCTATGTTTAGTAGAGGACCCTCGCAGGCGGCCAGAGAACAAACTGGCGCTGCAGAGGCTGAGGCTGCAGGCAGCCTCGCAGCCCAGCCCTCAACCACTGCACCACCAGGGGAGGCCCAAACTTATACAGTGTTTTATGTCAACTACATGTTAATTTTTAAAAGCAAATAAAATTAATAAAAAGGTATCCTGGAAAATCTCTCTTCTCCATAGGCATTTGAATACATGAAATTCTATAGACAGAGTGGTCCATTCCTTACCCCCTTTAAAAATATACAAATTTGCTGAAGTACAGTGTCTTATTAATACATGAAGGAACTGATCTGTCTTATCCTGAAGAGTAAAGCCTAAAAAGGCTGGGATGGAGTACATGTAGATGCTGCCACCTAAGGCAGAAGCTTTCCTGGGAGAGAAGGGATGCACCAGGTTTGGGAATGGGGTATGTTTCACTATTTGAACCTGTCTGTGAATGTAAAGGACAGGACACATTCAAAGGTGCTTCAGGTAATGACCTTTGCTACATACTTGCTTAAAAAAAAAAAAAGAACAGCAGCTGTGTCAGTATTTACAGTCAAGAAACATGTTTAATGAAGAAATGATATCTAGTTTATCTGACAAAAAGAAAAATAAATAAATAGCAAGCTAAATTGAATAGTTTCCAAAGTTATCTTAAGCCACTGCAAATAAAGGTCTCAATGTTTCTTCCTTCCTAGAAACTAGATCTAGAAATCAGAGATAAGAAGGATGATGTATAATCTAACTCTCACTGGCAGGACATCTCTAACTGACCTCTCCTTCACATGCTGTCTACCCCTTCCATTGCCTCTTTCACATTTTCTACAGGATGACCTCACTAAAATTTAAATATAATCATAGTATTCCCCTATTTAAAATTAAACAATGGTTTATTCCAATTCAGGATTAAAAATGGAGAAAACTTTTAGTCCAGCACAGAAGATATCTGTTAAACTAAATTCTGCCTTTATGCTCAAGCTCTTCTCCAACTTCAGACACAGCCTCCAAGTTCCAGCCCCAAATTAATTAAAGTAACTCCAGACTCAATCCCTTCCAAACCTGTGTGCAAGCTGCCCCTTTGCCTGGAAGGCCTAACTAGTTCCTACCTATCTTTCAAGATATTGTACAAAAGTTTCTTCTTTATGTTTCCATGGCACTCTGGACATACTTTTCTATCAGAGTTCACTACCAGAATGCCCATCCTGAAACAGATCTTACCTCTTGGATAAAACTCAAGGTTTTTCACTGCCATTTCTCTACTGCATTAAGCCTGGTATTCACCCTAATTGTCTTTTTATTATAGCATAACTCAGAGATACTGCAGGTTTAGATCCAGACCACCACATAAAGTGAGTATCACAGTAAAGTGAGTCAGAAGATTTTTTCGGTTTCCTGTGCATATATGTTAACACTATAATTTAGTCTATTTTAAGTGTGCAACAGCATTATGTCTTTAAAAAAAGGTGCATGCCTTCATTAAATACAGTGCAGTCACATAAAGTGAGCACATGCTGTTAAGAAAAAGGTACCCATAGATTTGCTTAATTTGAGGTGTCCATAAATGTTTAATTTGTAATCAAGATGTGATCTAGCCATACAATGGAATACAATTCAGCTATAAGGAAAGATGAAATGCAGCCAATTTTCAGCAAAACGGAGTTTAAGAGAATACGTATTCTGAAAAGCAAGACAAAACAGTAAAATCAAATACTGGACATTTACATAGCAGACAATTTGATAAAGTAAAACCCTTACAAAACTAGTCAACATCAATAAACACCATAAAGGCCCTGATGTTAAGAAAGACAAGGAAGAAAGGAACAAGGAGATACAAGGAATTGGGTGGGGGAGGGAATTAAGAGGGGGAAGTTGGTAAGAATAAATCAGTATCTACAAAGCTCAATAAAAGAGAGCATGCCTGTATTAACTTTTTTCATTTAATGCTTAAAAAATAATGACATGGATACACAAAGTCCTAGAAAACTCTAGAAAAGAAAAACTGCACAGCATCCCTAAGCTGGAAAGGGCCACAGAAGAGAGTAGGGTGTTCTCTCTCTGCCAGGTAAAACACTGATCCACTAAGTGCTGAAACATTCACTTCACATCTGCAGGAAGTTGGTTTTTCAGAAAGAGAAAGAACACAGGCTAAAATACATGTACTGGTGAGTTCCAGTTTCTTTGAAAATTGCAACCCAAATATAGTAAATAATGGTTGTCTCAACCTCCTTAGATTTTCCCCTAAAGTGGAAATAAGTGGATTTGATACTCATGAAAAAAGAAATTTTTCTTCATATCAAAGTGTGTACTGAAAATACAGACTACTAAATAGAAGGGATTGAAGAAACAAGTTAACTATAAATTACAAAGGTAATAATCCTTAACTTCATAAGCCCTGTACCATAAAAGAAAAAGCAGAGGAAAAGTAGAATCCTGGTCATTTGTAATGTTCTTAATACTGCAACACAGAGAGAACAACTGACTCATAAGGAGTTGACAAAGCTTTGTTCATTTTTATTAGGTAGTATTCTCAAATAAGAATTAGTCTCAAACAAGTCCATACTTATTTATAAGTATCATAAAATAAAATTATACTTAAAAATCACACTTAACCAATGGGGAGCTAAATAATATTTTTTAAAAGCAATGTCAATAAAATAGTGAAAGTATTTAATGCACATTTTAAAAAAACTAATAAAATTGATTACTAAAAATGCCCTTCCTTTCCCTTCATTGCAAGAACACTAAAAGATTTAATGTTTATAAAATATAGTCATGGGGAACATGTTCAATAGAGAGGTTTCTGGTTCCACAAGACTTGGAGTAGGGGGTTTCTAGAAAGCAGTGGTAGGAAAGGAGAAATAAACAAAATGCAATGTGCTGACATGAGAGATGAGAGTTCAAGGGGTCAAGTCAAAATTAATAGTTGCACAAGTTTTCTTAATTCTAAAGTCAGAGAAAATAACACATTTCTCCTATATGCTTATATCTTTTGGAAGCAGTGAAAATTATTTTAAAATTTGAGAACTAAGAAGGTAACAAGCTTTCTCAAGGGCATGGGAAGTGTTTTCATATAACAATTTACATGAAATATAAAACACAAAATGACAAGAAATGTGGTTCTTACATACTTTCAAATCATTAAATAGGCTATTTCTGGATATTAATCAACATACATTGCCATTATATAAATTAGTCTATAAAACTCTTCCCACTAAGTAGAACAGCTTAATTAATATTCAACGAGTAATTAAATTTCAACAATTTATAGTGTTATAAATCCTAAGTTTCTAAAGTAATTCTAATTTTTGCCTTAAAGATGTTTTGCTTAGTAAATTATTTTCAGGAAAATGTGAGTCATCTCAAAGCAGAGGCTAGTTTCACAGCTATCAAACATGCATGTTTTTACATCCAGTGTTTCTTCTTAATCTTAGAGGAAATGCAGCAAAACACACCTGTAGAAGGCACATTATCAGTTTCAAGGAACTGAGGAATATAAAAATGACAGTTGTGTAAGAGTGCAATGGAATGAAATAGGAACAGTCATGATTACTGATGCCCAACAGTGATAGGAAGAAATTATGACTCAATTGTTATGCAACCAATGGGATCAGATACTATTTTGAGTTTGGTACCAGGAAATGAGCCAGGTATGACAAAGAAGATAATAATCCTTTGAAACGCTCCTAAAATATTATGAAAGCAAACAAAGTTTTGCTATTTTAAGAGAAAAAATAAGAGCTGCAAAGACAGGCTCTGGTCCACTTCCAAGGCGTCAAGAGACACCACCAAGAGGGTTAACAGGTCAGAGGATCAGGAATATGGAGGAATGGGAAGTGAGGGTCTGTCCTCAGCTCTCAGATGGATATAACACATAATGAACATTTTCACGTTACTAGAAAAAATATAACCAATTTGACCATTGAGGGAAAATGCTAGTGTCAGTCATGATTTTAAATTTGGTTTTACTGTAAGAATGATGTTCTTGTAACAAAACAAAGAAGTCATATTTCAAAAGAAAGGCCCACATATTATAGCATACAGGAAGTCTGACTTAACAGAAATCATTCAAGAAGAATAAAAGCAGGTTAATTGAAAATCACAATAAATTCCTAACTACCCTTAATTTCAACTAAAACTTTACCCTCAGCTTAATGTATCTCCCATCATTGAATTTCAAAGGAATCCTAAGAACAAAATAAAACCACCAGTGCACAAAGCCGGTGGACTTACTGTAACTCAGCTCTTCTGGAGGCCCCAGCAGGCCCAGTAAAAAAGGAGGCAGCATGAAGTTCAACAAATACACTTTACCTCGTCA